GTACTACGTACGTACTACGTACTACGTACGTACTACGTACTACGTACTACTCGTCTCGTACGTACTACTACTACTACTTACTTACTTCTTCTTCTTCTTCTTCTTCTTCTTCTTCTTCTTCTCTTCTCTCTCTCTCTCTCTCTCTCTTCATCCTTTCTCTCTCTTTCTTCCTTTCTCTCTATTTCCCTCGTTTCTTTCCTTTCCCCTCTCCTCTCTTTCCCTCTCTTCTTTCTCTCTCCTCTCTTTCCCTCTTCTTTCTCTCTCTCCTCTTTCTCTCTCTTCATGCAAATCTGAATAACCATCATCTCTCTCTGACCCATATCCCCATGCACCAAAATCACGTGCACCCATGGCACACCGACTTGCAAAAAAACTCTAGATACTTTTTAGCTATTTCCCCATTAGATCCCTCGCTCTCTATCAAAATATCTAGAATAACCCCTTCGACTAAGAGAGCAACATTAGAGCATTAAAATTTACTTTAGCTTCTGTATTTTTATTTTGGGTAAATACTTTATGACGTTTTTATAGAGTTAAGGTTTTATGAAAATAAAATAAATTTTTATTTCAAATTCTTGAGAAAACACTTTTCGGCAACAGAAATCTACATGGATCTAAATTAATTTCCAAACACTTATAAAACATTTGAAGCAAAAAAATAATGCGAATCTTGCATATATATGAACTTAATTTTAGGATGAAATGGACAGTCTAGATAATTTATTACAATATATGTACGATTTTTAGAATTTAAAATCTTAATTTTTTTTTCACAACTAATGCTCGAGCCAACATGATTTTTCAATGCTTAAATTGTAATTTTTAATGAATTATGAGATGGGGTTTTATTCATTTTGATTGGGCTGCAGGCCCGGACTATTAGATTTTAGGGTTTTTGTTTTGTGGGGAGAATTTTATTTTCTAGAGAAAATTATTTATTAAAATAAAGAGTTTGAAATGGTTTAATAGAGCTCCTCACAACTTCCTATAAATACCCCATGTCATCCTCTCGTGTACTTCTTGAACTCCCCAACTTCCCTTCAAGGATCTCTCTCCCTCTCTCTCTAAAAATCAAGTCTTTCTCTCTCTAAAACAAGCTACAATTTGAGGTTTCTCTCTCTAAACTTGGGATTCAGAACACAGTTTTAAACCATTCTCTCTCTACAGTCTTCACAACTTTCTCTCTCTAAACTCATCATCATCGTTTCTGTTTCCACAGAGCCTGAACAACAATCATCACCACCATTTCTCCCTAAAGAAAGCCCACAGCAAACATCATTATCATCTTCTCTCTCTACAATCTCAATACACCACTCTCTCTCTCTCTCTACAAACTAGAAGCATGTAAAGCCATTACAAACTCTCTTTCTCTCTCTTAAACTCAAAGCACTATAAATAATCTTTCAATCCCAAAACTCACAGCATCACCTCTCTCTCTCTAGAGAGCATCATTTAATGGATGAGCAGCGTGGCCATGGTGGTGGCCAAAACCCGGCAGCACAACCAGAGAGAGCAGAGCCAGTGAGATCAAGGTGGACTCCAAAGCCTGAACAAATACTCATCTTAGAGTCCATCTTCAACAGTGGAATGGTGAACCCACCAAAAGATGAGACTGTGAGAATAAGGAAGCTCTTAGAGAGATTTGGAGCAGTGGGTGATGCCAATGTTTTCTACTGGTTCCAAAACCGGCGGTCGAGATCGCGTCGCCGGCAAAGGCAGCTCCAATCGACGGCCCCCGCTGCCGCCGCTGGTCGACCCGGAGGCTCAACGACAGCGGCCACACAAGGAGCTCATATGATTAACCAGGGTGGTGCAATTCACTATGGGTTCCCTTATAATTCCACTACTACTACTACTACTCCCTCTCTCTCCTCTTCTTCTTCTCTCTCTTCCTCTTCCTCTCTCTCCTCTTCCTCTCTCTCTTCTTCATCTTCTCCTTCTTCTTCTTTTGGTGGTGGTTTTGGGGAATCGAGTTCTTTGGGTTTTGGCGGTTTGGAGCTGATGAGTATGACTGAGAATTTGGATTTGGGGGGGATGGATCAAAACCAACTGGTTTCTCCCATTATAGATGCAGCTGCTTCATCTAGTGTGCAATACCAATCTGGTATGATGAGCTCTCTCTCTCTCTCTCTCTCTCTCTAGAATCAATACAATTCATACCCCTTAATTCTCTCTCTCTCTCTCTACCCCTTGAGAATCACTGCAATTCATACCCCCTTAATACTCTCTCTCTGCACCCTTAAGAATCACTGCAATTCATACCCCTTAATACTCTCTCTATCTGCACCCTTAAGAATCACTGCAATTCATACCCCTTAAAACTCTTTCTCTCTCTCTCTCTGCACCTTAAGAATCACTGCAATTCATACCCCTTAATACTCTCTCTCTCTCTCTCTCTTTTCCAGCCAAGTAAGATTTTCAATGAACTCCATCTGTAGTTTCTTTCATATGTGTGAGGGAAAAGTTCATATAAGGCTGCAATCATATGCGAATAAAAATAAGTTGCATCTCAAAAATCATGTAGAAATGAGTAATCACAAGTTTGAAATACTTTCCAATTGGTATGTATAGATATAAAGTAAAAAAAGAATTTCAAGTTTTCAAAATATTGCATCTGAGTTATTTGTGCTGTTTATTTTCGAGATTTTTAAAAGTATATAGATGTGCTTTGTCTACACCAATTTCTAAATCTAATTTCATAATTAGGGTTCCATAGATTTTCGAGCCATCAACCTATGAGTATGGAGATTTAAATCCCTGCATCCTAATGTTGTGTTCTTTTAGTATGGTAGGAAGTCTTTCAAATGCTCTTTCTACCCAACTTGATCCCTTATCAAATTTCCACGAGTGCAATTTGAAGTAAGCATTTTCCTCTCATTTAACATGTTTGTTACAAATTATAATGTAGTTGTAATAAATTTTTTGCACCCCCATAGGATTTCTCTTTCACCATTGGTCTCTCCCTCTACTGCAATTGGGACTGAGCAGTTTTCCCTTTATTCAATTTCTCTCTCTCTCTTTCTCTCTCTCTCTACAGTGCAATTAGGAGTAAGAAGTTTCCTGTCATTTAATATGCTTGTTACAAATTATAATGGAGTTGTAATAATTTTTTTGCACCACCATGGGATTTCTCTTTCATCATAAGTTTTTCTCATCATTGGTCTCTCTGTAGTGCAATTGGGAGGGAGCAGTTTCTCCTCTATTCAATTTCTCTCTATATATCTCTCTACAGTGCAATTAGGAGTAAGAAGTTTTCCTCTATTCAATATGGTTGTTACAAGTTATAGTGAATTTGCAATAAATTTTTGCACCACCATAGGATTTCTCTTTCATTATAAAGTTTTTTTGGGGATTTATTTACCTTTTATATAAGGAGTGATGTGAAATTTGATAGTAAAAGTATCTCACAAAATTCGATAAAGTCTTTTTTTGAAGTTTGAGCTTGGTCAATAAAATAAATATAGCCATCTAATTTCACTTTTAATGGTCAAGATGAATTGTGTGTAATAAGATAAATATAACCATCTAATTTCACATCCAATGGTCAAGATGAATTGTGTGTACGAAAGTAACTTTCTCTCCCTCCAAAAGAAAAAAAAAAAAAAAGATGTATCTCTCTATTCCTAAAGATCAATCAATCCATCTTTCTCTCTCTCTTATACACATTCATATACCAATTTTGCTCCTCTTGAGCTCATAAAAAGTCTCCTAAAAGCATGTATTTCAGGTCTTATACCAGTTTTTATCAATGGGATTCCATCTCAAATGCCAAGTGGAGCTCTTGACATAAAGGGTTTGTTTGGGGAAGGTGTAGCCCTAGTGCATTCCACAGGGGAGGCAATTCCAGTCAATGAATTTGGGATTTCATTGCAAAGTTTGCAGGCTGGAGAGAACTATTTCTTGGTAACCTTGAATCCTTAAATCCAAGGTTCCAATCTTCAATTATTATCAGCCTTTGGCAATTTTGGTATGTAGGATCACTTAGGCTCATTTTATATGAATTACTGTATTTGTGATTTTTAGTTTCAGTGACACCATGTATTGGCTTGGTCTAATCCAATGTTATACTCTCTCTCTCTCTCTCTCTCTCTCTCTCTCTCTACTACTACTACTACTACGTACGTACGTACGTACTACGTACTAC